TCGGAGTACCGTATGCGAGATCTTATCAAAGAGCTCGAGATCGATGTCATTGGCCTGCTCGAATCCGACAACCAGCGTATCATCATGGGCAACCGTGATGCTACCCAGTTCCTTGCTGAGGATCTCGGTATGTATGTTGACTACGGTCCGGGACCTAACAAGCACACCTGGGGTGCTGCTCTGCTGTCCAAGTTCCCCATCCTGAACTCGACGCATCATCTTCTGCCCAGCCCCGTTGGCGAGTTGGCTCCTGCTATCCACGCTACGCTGAACGTCTACGGACAGCTGGTTGATGTGTTTGTCTTCCACTCTGGCCAAGAGGAGGACGTGGAGGACCGACGTCTTCAGACTCAGTACCTCGCCGAGCTCATGGGCTCGACTCCTCGCCCGGCATTCCTTCTTAGCTACCTAGTGACGAGGCCGCTGGAGGGCAACTACAACGTACATGTTAGCAAGAAGTCGGGTATGCACGACGTCGACCCATCGGACTGGGATCGTTGGTGCGAGTACATCCTCTTCAAGCGCCTTAAGCGCGTGGGATACGCGCGCGTCAGTCGCAGCAGCATCACAGACACTGAGCTGCAGGTGGCCAAGTTCAGGATCCCCGAGTCACCCGAGGAGATCGCCAAGCTGGAGGCTCAACCCGCCAAGGAGCGCAACCACCGGGTGAAGGAGTCGCAGGTGCCAAAGGGATGGAGATTCCCGGCCATGTTCCGCGGCGAGGGCGTGCGGGAGCATAGATACCACGTTTTCGATGAGCCCAGGTACTTTAACTAGGCACTCTTGGCTAGGGAGGCAGGGCGTTTCATCTTGGGTTCTTTTCTATGCTGGGTGGCTGGTAATATGGGAGGACTTAATGTGGTGACAGGGACGGGGGAGCAATGTGCTACGAGTAATGTAGGGTCGCATAGTCTACGAGCTTTATGTTACCACGTACAATATACCTATTTATTCTTATCAAGTTTGTGAGCACTATGCAGTCGTGTATGTGTTGTTCTTGAACTAGGTGTGTTATGTTGAGAGCCCATGAAATGCGTGGGTCTGTAGGGTAGACCAACCAACAACTTGGCCAAGCATCCATTGTCCTCTCCCAGGTTTCACATGTATATCTTGGTGTTTCTGTTAGTGGCATTATAGTTTCATACTTTCCTTGGAGTTATCTTCTCATTATTGAAAGCTTGTGTTTCGATCAGGCGCTAAAGCGGCACAGAGCAAGCGGTGTAGTTCGTGTTTGTTGACAAGTAAACGCAACTCACATCACATGTCCTTCTACTAAGCCAACATCAAACATTAGTGACCTCCATGCTACCCTGTCAGCCGCTGACCACCATGGAAAAAAGCCCTATCGCAAACCAAAACCCACCAATAAACCTCGATGCAAAAAGAATCGGGCGTCAAATCTGCGTTCCAGCAAAGGTGGAACCCCCGGCTCTGGAAACCCGTCCCCACCTCCGACTACTAACGGCCGAAGCCCCCGATCCAAGCCCTGGGCGGATTCCCCACAGCGCGGCCAGAACCGCACACTATCGGGGGATGACGCAAAGGTTTCTTGCTGATGGGTAGCACGAAGGACACCTCCATTTCCAAACGAGGCAGGAAAAGTGAATGGTTCCGCATAGCGGGAAGAGGACCGCTGTCGTAGTAGAACAGCCAAGGCCGAGGCCCGTACAGCTTTCCCCAGGACCAGGAACGGCCGCCGAAGGAGGGGAAAAAAAGGTGGACATGGCTTTCGTATTGTGAAGCTAGGACCTTGAACCGATGCTACAGAAGACAAAGATACGGACGGCACGGCATCCTCCACCTGCGGGTAAGCTGGAAGAGATTTGGCCTTTGGCGTTTCTGGCTGTTGCCCTAGGAGGAAGTCAAATCGGGCAGATGACCTCGCGAACAATGTCAAGCTAAGAATAGCCTCCCTGGGTTTTGGGGCAGAGGCGTGTGACCTTGGGGTGAGCAAGCCAACAGGAAGGTGGCATTTTGTAATGTGCATTCGTTATCTTCCGTCACCGTGACATTGGATGAATTCATGAGCTTGGTACGTACTGGATGTGAAGTTGTCTCGTATTGTTTACAGCTTGGAGGTGGTTGAGAGGCTGGGCATTGAAATACCGACAGCATCCCCAGATTCAAGCTACAAACAACAAAACCTCCAATTCTCCAATAACCATCTCCATTAGCTTCCCCGCCATCTCAAGCCTGGCCCTTGCTCACCCCAAGATCCCATCTTCATCCCGTCACAATTCCGCGATTTCCAATCCGAACCTAGCCGCCTCGGCACTTGGGTCGATCGATAAGCCTAGTGTGCCGCAACAAGCCGACCAAGAGCGTCATGCTTGTTATCGTTCGCTGAACTACAAGAAGAGAATAAGAGAACTGTAGAGAGTGAGGGTGTAGTGGTCACGGGTTAGTTCCTTGTCTCTGTGTATTCTGCCCCCGGGACATCCGCTGCTCAATTGTGCTTCCTTGGAATCGTTTCCGCTTTTGAAGCTTTGTGTTAATGAAAGAAAGACGAGATGCAGCTTGATCTGGGACACTTGTGGATTTACTTGGGGTTGTTGGTTGGAGGAGGAGTCCTCTATGTGAGTACTTACACGGTAATTGCTTCAGCTGTGTACATCAAACTAACAAAACCCAGACCTTCGGCCTCGTCGTATATCGAGTCTTCTTCCACCCTCTAGCCAAGTATCCCGGTCCCTTCCTCGCCAAGATCACCGATGCCTACCAGCTCTATCACGCCTGGAAGGGTGACCGTCACCTCGAGTTCTGGCGCATGCACCAAAAGTACGGACCCGTCGTCCGCTTCGGTCCCAACTCGCTCTGCTTCAACTCCAACAAGGCCCTGAAGGAGATCTTTGGCTTCCGCACCAATGTTCGGAAGGCAGAGTTCTACAATGCCTTTGTCCACCCGACCGCCAACACCCACAACACCCGCGACAAGGAGGTGCACGCCCGTAAGCGCCGTGTCATGTCCCAGGCTTTCTCTGAGAGCGCCATGAAGGAGATGCAGAGGTACATCCTTGCCAATGTCCGCACATTTTGCGAGCAGATTGGAGCTCTGGATGGTTCTGCCGAAGAATCCAAGGGATGGACTAAGCCCCGTAAGATGAGCGACTGGTGCAACTACCTTGCCACGGACATCCTCGGCGACCTGTGCTTTGGCAAAGCCTTCCATATGCTGGAGAGCGAGACGAACCGGTTCGCCCTGGGACTTGTTGAGGCCGCGACTACTCGCCATCTTCTTGTAAGTGACTCTCGGTGCTCGATGGAAGTTAGAAGCTGACTTGACCAGTGCGGAACTATGCCCATCGTCGACAAGCTCAAGCTGGACAAGGTCCTCTTCCCCGGCCTCGCTGCTAAACGCGCCCGTTATATGGCCTACAGCAAGGGACAGCTGACTGAGCGCACCAAGCTTGGCGAGGAGACTGATCGACGTGACTTCTTCTATTACCTCCTCAAGGCCCGTGATCCCGAGACTGGCCAGGGTTTCAGCACCCCTGAACTCTGGAGTGAATCTAACCTGCTGTAAGTGATTGTGTGAAAAGCGAAGCAAGACTTTGGCTGATATGAGGGAACAGCATCATCGCCGGCTCAGACACCACATCCACTGCCATGGCTGCTACGCTCTTCTACCTCGTCCGCTGCCCCCGCGCCCTCAAGAGAGTGACTGAGGAGATTCGAAGCAAGTTCAACAACGTCGAGGAGGTTTGCCAAGGCGCCACTCTTGCATCCTGCACTTACCTCCGAGCCTGTATCGACGAAGCCATGCGCATGTCTCCTTCTGTCGGTGGCATCACCCCCCGTGAAGTCCTCCCCGGCGGCATCACGGTCGAGGGCCGCCCCATCCCCGAGGGTACCGTCGTCGGCGTGCCGCACTACGCCATCCACCACAACGAGTCATACTTCCCCTCGCCGTACGAGTACATCCCCGAGCGATGGATGGCGGGCGCCGTGAACCCCCTGACCAACGAAAAGACCACCGAGGACGAGGTCGCACTTGCGGCGAGCGCCTTCTGCCCCTTCAGCATCGGTCCCCGAGGCTGTATCGGGAAGGGTCTGGCCTACGTCGAGATGACCAACACTCTGGCTCGCACTATTTACCTGTACGACATGCGTAAGGCCATCGGCATCGTTGATCCCGCCGAGGGCAAGCCCAACAATGAATGGGGACGACACCGAGTGACTGAGATGCAGCTGGTCGACATTTTTACCAGTGCTAAGAACGGACCTATGATTGAGTTCCGCAAGGCCGAGACTGCATCGGCTTAGGATTGATGTGTATATGCTGAGATAGTATATGGTGAAGATGAAAGGATGGCAAGATTGAGATGACGGCTCATGATGAATACTGAACGAGAAAAGGAAGATTAACTATCATACTGAGTATAACAAGTAAAAATGAACTATCAAAATACTTGAAATAGCCCCATAAGGTGTTGATGTCTGCACGTTCTTGGGCTTTGGTGCATCTGCCAGCTGAGCTTGGTGCGGTACGGAGTACAGTCTATACCGAAGGAGGGAGAAGCAAGACCGCTACTGAACGAGTCCATTTGCTGGAGTTGAAAGTTGAGGGCTTCTACGGGGGGCCAGAATAGAGAGAACACAAGAGACACGGCTCGTATTGGGAGAAATATGAAAGATAGAGCATATGAATAGGTGTATAATCCAAGTTTGTTGAATGGACGAGATGAAGGAGCTGATGAACGAAGTGAATCACTAGGGGCAGCTTCCAGGGGTTGACTGTAAGGGTCAGCACTGGGTGCCCCGCTAATCCGCAGATCGCGTTGTGGTCGCGCAGAAACTTGCCTGAGCCACCTGCAACCCAACGAGGCTGGGAGTGGATGGAAGGCTGAGCAGCTCTTTTGTCTCCAACCTCTTTCTCTCTTTCATTGTTCTCGAGGACAACGGCGTTCTTTGCGCAGGGGAATTAAACCCCGATATGAGGTAGCCTCGACCTCGGCGACATCCAATTTTATCGCCAATACGACCCTGCGCATCCCATCAAGATGACGGTGTGTAGATTCTTTCAGCAGGGCAACTGCAAGTTTGGAAGTAAGTCTTGGGCTCGGCTGCATTGCATCACCAACGCCTTCTCTGAAGTATAATGCACAGCGCTGACGTCTCGTCTTTTCAGACAACTGCAGGAACGAACACCCCAACCCCAACAATAACCGAAATCAACCCTCGAACCGCTTCGGAGCTCTGGGAGGAGGAAGCAACAGCGTTGCCGGTACGACTTTTGCGACATGGCTTGGAAAAGACGCGTTAACAAGGCCGCAGACAAGTACAGCATCACGGTAGATGCCATCGAGCGAGACCTGACAAACGAGACGCCGCAATGGATCCTTTCGGCGTATGCTCCCGGTCGAGACGCCCCCGGGCAGCTCTTTGGAGGGTACCCGCGCGAGCAGAGCTTTGAAGAGCTGCGCCTTCACTACGTGATGGGCAAGGCCTCGGGCAACGAGCAGCAAGCAGTGAGCACATATTTTACTGTCTCCGAGACGATAATAGAAGCTAATTCTAGTAGTTGAACCAAGCCCAGGAGCTCTGGACGAATGCGCAACAGCAAATGCAAAACGCCGTCCGAAACGCCCAAGAAGCCGTCCAATTCATAGTCAGCGCCGAGAACAACCACCCGAACCGACAGGATATCTGCAAGGAGGGGACACAGGGAGCCCCTTTTGGAGAATTCATCGTTGGGAAGCGACCAAAGTCGATGCTCGACGTGTTTACCGGTCAACCCCATAATCAAAGTTCCCTTGCAACCTCGAATACTTCCTCACCCTTTGGAGGCGGCGCTTCAGCTGGGCAAGGTGGGTTTGGGCAACCTTCAGCCCTCGGCGCAAAGCCAAGTCCTTTTGGCGCGCCGACTTTTGGTGCGCCGTCACAGCCGAATGCCCAAGGTGGCTTTGGTCAACCATCGCAGGTTGGACAGGGAGGATCAGGTTTTGGTCAACCGTCACCGTTGGGGCAGGGAGGGTCGGCCTTTGGAAAGCCATCGCAGCCAACTCCTACCTTTGGAGCGCCGTCGCAACCAACTCCAACGTTTGGCCAGGCATCACAGCCAGCTTCGGGTTTTGGCCAGACATCAGCCCTTGGCGCGAAACCCAGCCCCTTTGGCGCTCCATCGTTCGGGCAACCGTCACAGCCGAATGCTCAAGGCAATGGCTTTGGTCAGACCAGCCAGCTTGGCCAGAAACCGAATCCTTTTGGATCCACGACGAATACGAACAATAACGCGAGTCCCTTTGGGTCTGCGGGCAACAACAATAATGCTCCCGCAGCGAATCCCTTTGGTGCGCCTAGTGGCGGATTTGCCAACAACCAGAACTCGAGCCCATTTGGAAGTACCAACAACCAACAGGCCAACTCTGGCTTCAGCTCATTCGGGAAGCCTTCACAGGGGGCTTCGCCTTTTGGCCAGCAACAGAATGCTCCGGCAGCATCGAGTGGCTTTGCTTCTGCTAATCAAGCGCCAGCCCAGAATGCGAACAACCCCTTTGGTCAACCTTCACAGCCGCAACCTAATGGTTTTGCATCACAGAACAACCAGCCAGCGAATCCATTTGGCCAGCCATCGCAACCTAATCCCTTTGGTCAACCCTCTGCAGCACCCGCAGGCGGGAATCCCTTTGCCTCGGCTCAGCCTCAGGCTCCGAAGCCAGCGGCGGCTGCATCTTCTGGAGGCCCATACCCTCCAAACAGCAGCAAACAACACCCGCCAGTTGAAAGCTACAGCGCCAAGGGCATGGATGGCCGACTCTCCATGTTCCGTGGCAAGCCAGTTACATACAAGGATAACCTGCCAGGTATCCGAGACTTTGATGGAACATGGCGACGGATCTGGTTCCCAGATGGTCCTCCGGGATATTCAAAGGATACGGAACTCCCCCCTGAGCAGTATGACGACAAGTCCAAGGCTCAGTGGATGGCATTTGCCCAAAAGGGCGATTTTGAGGGCGGCGTGATGCCTGAGCTGCCGCCGCCAAGGGAATGTACACTGTGGAACTTCTAAGGAGAGCAGCGAGTCGCTCGAAATTTTGTTATACGATAGAAAAGGGGCGGAAACGAGGGCAGGCGTTGTATGTTTCAAGAGATATTCGGCTCTGTCCATTCACCGGCGTTGAGGATGATTACCGACAAGGTACCTAGGATGCATAGGATTGTACAGGTTCAAATCCATTGAATTGAAAGGATGTTCAAAATGGCTCAAGTCAAGCTACTACGTATATATAAAGTTGATATTTGTATGAAGGATATGTATTTTGGACCGTCATTGGGCGGAATCTGGCTCATTATGAGTCTTGCTGTAGAGGCTTCCAGTGGCAGTTGGTGGATAGCAGCTGAAGAGGCTAACCCCTAAATAGAAAAGCGCAGGTGTAATATGCGTATCTGATTGGCTAAATGGGTGCTGGCAGCTTGTACCACCTCCTGCCCATCGTCAGCCTGCAGTGAGCATCCACTTTCTGATGATTCATCCGGCGATGAACAACGTCCCTGGTCGTATTCAGCCACGGTCTTTGATCCAAGTTATGGGCGACGGCCTATAAAGGAAAATCATCTCCTGCGAGATTTTACCTCTGGACAATTGTCGCTTATTTTTGTCACCCTGCCTGTTCATTTCACCTCCAAGATACCTACCAACAAGGGGCACCCTCCACCATGGCCTCTCTACCTCCCCTCGCACCCTTCCCTCAGGCCTCATGGCGACAACACCTTTCACCTACCGAATGGAACTCTCTACTCGACGCATGGACATCGTTATGTCGTGCTCTCGTTGCTTTGCCCGACAAGCAGCTCAAGGCAGCACTCTCACACGATGATGCTGTAGCCACATTTCTGGCCACTTTTGCAGAGGAGACGGCCAATGCGGGTTTCACAGTTCTGGAATCACACTCGGCGACACTACCAAAGGCGGTTTTCCAGCTCACTTCTAGAGTTCTTACTCTTTCTCCGCCATCGCAGCTTCTGGGATTTCCATTTCTCGCAGATGTTGCAAGGATCTTTCCACGGAAACTCGCAGCACCTCTCATCGCTCAACTCTTTCAGCAACATGCCGCACCAATCGAGTCATCTCTCTCAGCGCTGAAGAAGCAGCTCATTACGCAGCTGGACTCGGGGATCAAGGGTGATCTGAAGCTCGTCGAGGCTCAGCTTACACGCCTGAACTATTTGCTGCACGCCTCACCGGATGCCTGCACGTTGTTCCTTGCAGGTGCTGATTTCCTCGATGGGTTGGTCGTTTGCTTTCGCGTCATGAACCCGCCTCTACGGAAGGTTATTGTCACGACGGCTTACCTGTGCCTCGTCGGGCTGATAGATGCCGAGCCGGCCAAGTGGTCGATGTTGAGCGATGAATTATATGCGCTTAAAGAAGCGGCCGACGCCCACAAAGCTGGCCCTCTCAACGTTAACGACTCTCTGGTTCCGGAACTAGTTACAAGTACTCCTCTACTCAAGATACTTTTACGAAGAGCAGAAGATTCTGGAGCGGCTACGGATAATTTGAAGAAGCGAATTACGGCACTGGAGAGTTTTAAGAAGGGCGCCATGGTACGACCAAAGCGCCTGGTGAGACGAAAAGTGGACAAGGGCAAGGGCAAAGAAACTCAGCAAGATGTGGACGCAGATATTCATGTTCATCGAATGAGCCAAATCACTCAGGTTCAAGACCTGTTCCCCGACTTGGGAGCAGGCTTTGTGGCCAAGTGTCTGGAAGAGTATGGAGATGATGTCGAACAAGTGGTTGCAAATCTGCTGGGAGAGAGTCTGCCACCTCATTTAGCTGGTGCAGACCGCAGCGAGCCCTTGTATGTCCCCTCGACGCATATATCTCCCTTCATGACTAACATACACAGGACATCACATACTGAACCACAACATACGGAACTTGCACCACGTCCTACGCCTCCTCAGGTTCCGACACGGCATAATGTGTTTGACGATGACGAGTTTGACCGCTTAGCCATGGACGTCTCCAAGGTTTCATTCGGAAAGAAGCCCGGGAAGAGCGCGGACGAGATGCTCAAGGACAAGGCCAATGCGCCCAACAAATCAGCAATTCTTTCTGCTCTGGCGGCATTTGACTCTGATGACGATGAACGCGACGATACATATGACGCAGCGGACGTGGGTGGCACGGTTGATGCCTCGAACCAGGAAGCCGATGGCGCGAATGATGGTAACGAGGAGACATTATTCCGGGCGTACCAGATGGATTCCAAGCTATTTAATCGCGACGCGGCCATCAGGAGAGGAAACCAGCGAGCGAAGTTGAGGGAAGACACTGGAATGACAGACGAGGCCATCGAGGGATGGGCCCTTATGCTGGTGAGAAACCCTCAGCAAAAGCGACGACTGGAGGCAAAGTATGCCTTTGCCGGCCAGCAAGCGCAACTGGAGCGGACCTCCTGGAGAGCAACACCGACAGGATCAGGAGAGGAGGAGAGTGAAGCAGACGGAGGGTCATCCCGAGGTGGAAGAGGGGGTCGCGGGCGAGGACGGGGACGAGGTGGCCGTGGTAGAGGAGGCAACGTCGCCGGGCCTACAGGCGAAAAGGAGACCGAGTCGGCCAGAAGAAACAAAGAGGCCCATAAGGGATCTCGGGCGAATCACAACCGGCGTGATGCGCGGGCCAAGAAAATGGCACGGGGAGGCTTCGCCGCCTGATACTACTCACCAGCCCTTTGTCTCTTTGGCTTATTGAAGCTTGGACAGCTGGTGTGACCCGACGCTCTTCTCTTTTGCGGCTGATTTAAAGCGGCAAACGAAGGACCGTACAAGTCTTCTGGGTCTAGCGTGAGGGCATATGGACTCCTCGCGTCTGCTATCATGGGGGTTCCCGACCCTGGTCCCGGTGCGGGCGAGACGATGGCGTTGAAGGAGGAACCGGCCTCTTCGACGCCTGGATAACGGTTGTAGTCCCTGGGAGTAGCTAGCTCAGAGGCAGCCTCAATAGAGGTGAGGTCCTGGTCGGCGTCACCAGTGCCCATGATCATGCTCTGCAGTGACATGCGTGAACTTCTGCGGCTATCGAGGTAGGTTCGTAGGTCGTAGCACTGACGGCACGAGGGATAAGGGGGGATACAGTCGGCTTCGTCACGATGTTGAGGGAGCTGGGGACGTGTCTGCTGGCCGCACTTTTCTTGGATATCATCAAAGATATCGGCGATGGGAGTAAAGTAAGTGACTCGCTGGCCAGGACCCCAGTAGTGGTTTCGTCCCCAGACTTGGCCTACTAGGCCATGGCTGCTTGCGTCGACAACGGCCGCGCCGCTATCACCACTGACGCCGATGCCTCCACGAATCCAGTCGTCTTCGTTGTCTTGAGGGTACGGCTCCTCGATGAACCACTCCCTAGTGGCTTTGTGAGTGCCGTTTTCTTCTCCCGAGACGTAAGCTGGAATCTCTCCTATCTGACCGCGTTGGTATCCGGATGTTCGACCACTGGAGATGACATCGGCACCAGGCATTATGGAGGTGGTGGTAGTGACGATAGCCTCTCGGACCTGGGGCAGAGTGTCGGAGGGAAAACGACGGAGCATGTTGGCGTGCGAGGAACGGGAGGCGATGAGAGCCCAATCAGTGACAATCAGGGGCTTGTCCATGTCGCACTCTTCCCAGTAAGGATCGTGAGAAATACGTGTCGTCTTGAGATTGAGCCCAGATGTGACCTCAAGATTGCCGAGACTAAAGCTGGCTGCCTGCGTCAGAGCATCGTGGCCCTCTGACACACATCGCTTGCGATCTTGAAAGGATGGGTGTTCGACCTGGACTTGGGAAGGGCTATGGTACGCATCGATGAAGGGGTGAAAATTACCCAGCCAGTAGCTGCCGCCTCCAACGGTGAGACAAGGACCCAGCGTGGCCGTGCTATCTTCAAAGGCATCGTTCCCCTTGACGCCGATGCTGTCGCCCATGCAAGGATCACGGAAGAAGTAAGGGTTCCTCGCCGTGCAGATATCGTCCTTGTGGTCCTTGCCCAAACCCCTAGCCCAAGTAACACTGCGGCTGACTTCACCTTTGGCAAACACGAAGGAGACGAGATTGAGGAAATTGGCGGGGATGAGATCCTGAACATGGCTGGCGATGATGATCTTGCGGGCAAAAGAGATTGCCCTGGGGCTCATGATGCAGATACGCTTCATCTGTGGTGTCTTGCCCCTGGTGACGGTGACAACGTGACGGGGACCGACCCAAGCTGGGAGATACTTGGAGAGGAAGGGTAGGATGGCATGTTCGAAGACGAGGGGAAAGCTTGTTGTTTCGATGAGTCTTGATGCTCTGCCTCGGACGAGGTCTGTTGGACTGTCTGCACTTCGAGGTGTACCTTTGGTTGTAAGTGACTGCGTGAAAAGAGAGGGTAAGGATATGACTTACTAGCATTCTTCTTGGCGCGTTTTTCAACTACACTGCGTAGTTTATCTTGACACATCTGTTTTGTGGCGACAATGTTGTCAAGATCATCGTCTCTCTCCTTTCTCTTGCCGAGCCTGGCCACCTCTACCGGTCTGGCTAAGGAGTTCTCAACAGGCTCAACTTTTGCCGGGAGCTGCCACTCTTTTACATCATCCCCGCCATCTTTTGGATGAGCGAGCATAATATGCGACTGCAAGAGGCGGCTGCTCTGGAACGAAGACTCTGCACAGCCTGGGATAGGGCATACGACGAGATGCTCAACCTTGACGTGGTAGACCAGGCCGTCTCTAGTTGAGAAGCTGGGATGGGTACAGCCAACCCAGTTGCACGAGTGCGTATGGGTCGACTTGACGTGGCACCTGAGCTCTTCATCCGAGGCAAACGCCTCTTGACATCGTGGCCCGAGGCAGACGAAAGGGTGTGCTGAGTCGCCAAGGCAACTGGTCTGCAGCGGGCTCGGGCCCCTCGATGGAACAGTTCCATTCCGTATAGTTAGAGTATCACCTGTATCTGTAGAAATAGACGACAGAAGTGAACCAACCGAGGAGGAAGACTGCGTGTCAGTGCTGACAGTGCTCATCTCCCTCCCACAATAAGACGAATCCCAGTGGCTGAGCCTCAGTGGCGCACAGTCCAGGTTAGAAGGCGAAGCAGAGCGGTAACAATCAACGCCAAAACCAAGCTCAGAAGGAAGCCTAAATTCAAGAGCCGGGGAGTCTAACGGGGCCGTAACTTTCGGAGGCGCCGGGACGGACCGGGGCCGAGTGGTGGGGCCGTCAGCCGGGCGGATAGTTCTCTTGCGATTCATTGTGAACAAAACAGAAAGAGCATAAAGAATTTAAGGTAAAAAGAGTAAAGAAATTTTTGAGGCGTTCGAGAATTTGGAACAATGGGATTGGAAGAGGGGTAAAGAAAAGGAACTCGATCGTCTTACAATGGTTGCCTTGTGTGTCGGCGGCCTCTAGACACGGGCGGACCATTTGGCCCCCAATTCATAGAGTCTGCCTAGCCTTCAGCCCTATGAGCGTCACGAACGAATCAGAATCATGTGAAGCTCTCTATTTCAAGTGCTGCTGACTGCATGTAAATGTTGCTAGGCCTGTTTAAGACCAACACACCCTGTAGCTGACGTTTTCCCCCCGCTCTGGATCATCCTACTTATATGTCCCTTCGTCTTGGATTGTGATACCAAAGATCCAAAACTTCCTTGACAAGCTGAAGAATCCTTTTCCATCATGGCCCCGAGGCTGTACTCTAGGCTTCCTGAAGGACGATTTCGTCTAATCAAGCTTCTCCCCGGAAAGTGGGACGACGAACTCCAGGCGGAACTCTTTGAAGCTGATCAAACCTTTGAGTACATGGCTTTGTCCTACACTTGGGGAAGCAGGAGATCTCTCAGGAAAGTAACGCTCAACGGTTTCTCGAGGGGTATAACCGTCAACCTCGACCTCGCTCTACGAACTCTCCGTTCTACGCATAGCCCTGTGACGGTATGGGCTGATGCGCTGTGTATAGACCAGGAGGATGTGGAGGACAAGAGTACTCAGGTCGATCTTATGAATGACATCTTTGGTTGGGCTTCTCAGGTTCGCGCTTATGTTGGTGATCCCCTATTGAGGGAGCATGCCAGCTTCGAGACAAGACTTGAAGAGCTGGGTCCTCTCGAGACATTCGAGTATTCAGATGATGAAGATGAGGCCTGGGAAGAGATTCATTCTGCTCTTTCAGAGTTGGAGACGAGCAAGTCCTCAGAGATATTGGCTCATCAACGGTGTCGCTGTATCTTTGGTCTATTAAGGGCCCTTTCATCACCCGCCCTAACCGCCAAACTTCAAGACATGGACCTCTTCTCCAAGAAACTCACCCCCAAGATGGAGCTCAAGCAGCGAAACCTCTTTGAGTGGCTTCGCATCTTTGTCGTCGCCCCCTGGTGGGATCGCATGTGGATCACGCAAGAAGTCGGCGTCGCCCGCGAGCTCGTCCTCAGCTACGGCAAAGTCACCGTGTCCTTCAACGTGCTCGCGTCTGTCGTCGGGACCAAGCTTCTAGACCTAGCTGCAGAGAACGCGAGGGTCATCGGTCTCCTTGTCACGAAACTCAAGACCATCTCGGAACTCCGCCGGTTGCAGAGATACGAATCCATCGCCGAGATGAGAGACCTGGACTACTTTCAACGATCACTTGGAAGTCCTCTTCTCTGGCTTTTACGGACATTTCGACATAGACACTCTTCTGAGCCAAGGGACAAAATATATGCTCTAGTCCGCCTACTCACCAAACTCGACATGGGGTCCAAGTACAAGCTCAGAACCGACTACAGCACTTCAGTGGCTACACTGTTCTGCAGGGTCGCCGTCTTGATTATGCAAGAGACGGGCTTATTCTGGATAACTTCTGCAGACCTAGTGGCCAAGTCGAGAGACAATCTTCCTTCGTGGGTTCCCAACTGGACAGACGGCTTCACGACTCCAGACACTGAGAATATGGCCTGGAAGATACGACTCTGCCACAACGTCTCCAATATGTCGTTTTCAGTCGAAGCCCCTCTCCCACCGGCAGTACTAATGGAACCGTCCAAGTACTATAGCAGTCTTGCAGCAGATGCAGAAAGCTACTCGTGGAAAAGACATCAAGGCGGCGAGCAGAAATTCAACGAACCCTTCCCCCCAGCCGTCAAAGCCGGCCACGACGCCATCATGTACAGCAAACACTTTTTCCTCGACCGAGAAAACTCCGAGGCCCGACGTATATGGTACGAGCATCACGAACCCGAAGTTCGTGACTTTACCAAAATTGAGAACTGCCTCAAGGTTCCCTCCCAGTTCTGTTCCATCGTCCTTCACGTTTCGGAACCCATCGCCCCAGACCTATCCAACCTACAGGCTATCGTCAAGGGTCTGCGTGCCGCCCACTACGAGGTCTACCCCGGTGGCTGGGGGGGTGTTGGGATGGGCCGTCTGGAGCAGATTGGCCGCGTGCTCTGCTTTGGAGCCGTGATTGATCAGCAATCTGGTCACGCTCGTCGTCTCAAACGCTACGACGACCCAGGCCTGGCCATTTTAGTCCAGCTCTTGACCCGTGCAGATGAAGACCTTCAAGGCTCGAAAGACTGGGAGGTGTGGTATCGTCAAAAGATGCTCCTCGAGTTAAGGAGTTCCTGCTCCGTGTGTCAATCTGCGACACATCCCTGTTCAGAATGCACAAGACAATCAGAAGCCAACCCTGTACCAACCCCAAAAGAAGCCCGAAAGGACTCCAATATCAAACAGCTGCGTCGAACAGCTATGCAGACGGCTCCTGGTAACTGTATCATCATGACGAATGACACCATGGCCCTGGGACCGCCTCAGTCTCAAGTTGGTGATAGAGTATCGATACTAAGTGGAGGTCTTTGCCCCTATGTTTTACGTCGAGACAAGAACCCGCAACATCTGGGATATCTCGCTTTTCAGCTGATTGGAGATTGCTTCCTGGACAAAACACCGTCATGGGATGCTGAAAGACTAGAAACAGTGGCCTTGGTCTAGAGACTGCGTATCATGAACTGTTCTGTTGATTTCTATTACAAAATGTATATATACCCTCCCGATATCGTCATGACTTGTTCCATCCCGTTGATGCCAGCTCAAACTCCTTATTCTATGCCTTGTTCCCCTTAAACTCCAGTTACAAACCCTGATACAGTTCCTCCACAACATCACTGAGCATCCTGAGCCCGTAAAACTTGGCCACCCTTCTCATGACTCCTAGCTTCTTGCTCACATCTTGCCGTGACACAATCTCCTTCCACTCTCCACTGCATGTGCAGTGCTCCATAAAGTCGTTGAGCCTCAATGCTCCGCAACGGACACACTTCAAATCCTGGGTAGTCCACTCAACAACCCAACTCTCCACCATACCGAGTAGTCGCTCTTCAATGGCCACCCGGTCGAATTCACTTCCACAAAAACCGCACCGCCATGCTGTGCCTTCACCAAAGAGATCCTCGTCTCGGCACAGATCAAGGTCTCGTGCCATAGTACAGCTGTCACACGAAACCTGTAGAAGACGCAGGCTCTCAGACGGGTTGGTAAACGTGCCGTCCTTGGAAAACTCTCGAACCTCAAATAGCGCCAGGAGTTCCTTGCGAAGCAGACGTGCCTCGAGCGTGATGTTCTTGTCAAGCGAGAGAACCTGCATCAGGGACTTGACAAGCTCGAGGATGGGGTTTCGTGGAGTGAGATGCGAGCCAGGCAGACTGGGGAACGAGTAGTCTTCGGCGAGCTCTGGATGGAGGAGTTCGCGCTTCTGCTTGTTGATGAGGCCGAGAATATCCTTCTTCAAAGGCTTCTCGAATGTCTTGCCTAGAATGATCTGCCCTTCGTGATTCTCCAAACCCTTGCTTGGTAGCTGTGTCAACTGCGGTGTCGCGTCTGGATCTCCATTCTGAGGCCGCTTGAGTTGGTGCATGAGCTGGATAAACTCAATCACCCAGTCCTGGAACGTCGGCTGCAGACGCACGGGGAGGAACGTGGCCATCTGCCAGTTCATGACCGTTTCGAGGTTCTGCTCTTCAGCCTCGATCACCTCCTGGCAGGCCTTTCCTCCATAGTTGAACTCATCATACCACACCAGGTAATCCCAGTACTCCTTGATCTCCAGATCGATAAAGTGGAACAGCGGCTTGCTCTTGATTGACTTGATGATGTACTGACTGTAAGCGTACGCATTGCCCACCTCGGCCTTTGTCGTCTGGAGGATAAGTCGGTTGGCGTTGGCAAATACCACCTGAGAACCAACGCGGCGGAAGTCGGCCATCAGTTGTTGGAAGGCCTTGCGAGACATCATCTGCACATAGTAGTGCAGAGCCCGATCGTACATGAACGAGTCAGGGTTCTCAACCCATCGGACCAAGTGTTGTACCAAGACATCAGCCATGGTGCTCCCACGACAAGCTTCAGCCCACCACGCCTTGACCATCTCACGGAGGACGAGCACGCCCGCATTGGCGAATGCACTCTCTGAGGTAAGCGTCTCAGAGTCGTCTGCGGCAGGGTTGAACGAGACCGAGTCGGCACCCTCCAATTCGTTGATCAGAGATGATGTCAAGATGGTGTTGATGGCAAGGTTGCGGACATCAATGTCGATACACACTGATGAAAATGTTCCGGGATTGTTCACACTTGGCATCTTGACATTATCTAGAGGTCCAAGGAGGTCGTCCTTTTCGTAGCCAGCGTGATCAGGCCGCGAACCAGGAGACCACCAAAGAACGACTCCGTTGGCTTGTAGGCGCCGAGCGTAGGCAACGTCGATCAAGAATCGAGGATCATCGCGTTCCAGGTTGCATAGGGGTACATCGCCATAACGAGCGAGAGCGGTGAGATGCAAAATCCATGATCCAAGGCCAAGGTAATGGCCAACGAGTCGCTTGGCGATCACAGACTGCCAACCCAGGGGTGGTAACGAGCTATCCGCTGCATCATACTTCAGCGGAAGAACAGGGAAGTCTCCAAGGATTGGGACATCGTGGATCAGCAGCTTGCGCTGAGAAGACCGGATCACCATCATCTGCGGTCGATGCTCATCCTTGCGCATCTTCTTGACAATGTCGCCAATCTCCAAATGCGCCTTGCGTCGTGTTGTCACCTGCGTAATCTTGAACTGCAGCTTTTCTTGGTATCTGAAGCAGTCTTGCCAGTTAGTGCCGGCCGCCTCCTCATTTCGTCGGGCAAGCATGTCAGAGTACATCCTGGTGATGTTGGGGAGATCTTGGCCAGAGTCCTTGTTCTTCTGAAGGATCACCACATGGGCTTGATCGTTGGTTGTTGAGAAGAGACCAAAGATCTGGCGCTCGCCCGCGGTGATGTGAGAGATGTAGATGTAAGCCAGGGGAGACGTGTCGAGATATGTCCGTGGCTTGGCTGGTCGCTTCAAACCTGAAAGATCAAAGCCCTGCTCAAGGCCCTTGCCAAGCACAGCGTCCTGTGTCTCGTCAATGGTGCACTGGTTGCCAAGACGCAAGACAGCCCGGATATTCAGGGGCACCTGTTTCTCGTAGACTCCCTCAACACTGGGATGGTTGAAAAGCAGAGAGAACTTCTCACTCTCGTTGAAATAGATGTCCTCTGGCACCGTCAACTTGAAAAGATGACTGGACGGGTGACCGTTGGGGAGGGTGTAGTTGACCTGCTCAACTTCGCAGCCATCAACCTCAACATCAGGCAAATCCTTGCTCTTGAGGTTGAGAAAGACTTGACGAGGGACGTTGATCTTGAGCGTGTGGATCTTGGCATCGATCAGGACATGTGCTGTTACAATACCAGGCGTGTCGGTCGCCTTGAGATGCAGAACCTGCCAGTTGTTCATGTAGGTAACATGTGCTTGCTTCATGAACGTTTGCTGGATGTTGTTCCCGGCGTGTCCTCGTCGGTCACCGAAGAGTTGTCGTCTGCGAATGCGAGCTTGCTTCTGCAACTTCCACTTCTTCTTCTGATACATCAAGAACGCCTCGTAATCCTCAGAAGGACTTGGCATGACCTTGGGAAGTGCAGCCATGGGATCGGGGTTTTCCGCAGGCTCTGGGGATTTGCGTTTCTGCACTGTCGTTGCAGCTTGAGAGGCTGCCACAGCTGAACTGACTGACTTCGGTTTCAAGAGCTTGTTCCCGAAATCCTCGAGATCATTCATCTGAGTGCCGTTGATGTTCGTAATGTCTTCCAATGGGCTCTTCTTGAACAGATCCGTGAGCTTCTTCTGCTTCATCTTGTCATCCTTGATGTTGATCCTCCTCTGAAGCCAATCAGGATGCGGTACTCGGGGAACTGGGTTGCGAACTTTCTGGAGAGCAGCGGGAATGGTGATGAGCTTTTGGATGACGGAGCCCAATCGCTCCAGGTAATAGTCCCAGTCGAGCAGTGCTCGAGGATCGGTGTCGGCAGGCTCCTCCTTCAGCCACTTCTTGAGATACGTTCGCTTGACTGACTCTTCCGCAGAGAAGATTGCCACGGGAACGGCTCGTTCGGTAACGGGGGCATTCTTGGGTCGAGCGCAGATAATGAACTTGCAGTTCAATCCCTTGTCTTTGACCATGCCCTCACCCAGGAAGTCTGCCAAACGTTTGGCCGTTGTGATACTGGTCGACTTTTGTGATCCATACTCCTCGAGCGTCTTGGACATGCTTCGATTCTCGGAAATGAGTTCCATCAGCTCCTCATCCGCTAGAGTAGTACCCTTGCTATGGAGGACATCGAGCCAGCGGTTGGCAACCTTGGCGACCGCAGCATAGCATTCAGCTAGTGTGGTTCCCTCCAGGAAGAACTTGAAGATTTGCTGCTGGAAGATCTTGATAAGCTTCAGCTCACCACGACGCTTCACCTCGAAACCCTTGAGCTCAGCAAGACTGCCGTCATCGTTGAAGACGGCATATCTCTTCTTCAAGTTCTTGTCTTCCTCCTTTGATGTTGGCAGCACCATGGCCTTGTAGGGACCGTCGACTTCGAAAAAGATGGAGTTATCGCTGTGTGTCTCGTACTTGAGCGTCTTCTTGTCGACCAGAGTCTGGTACTGGTGGTTGGTGAATTTGGCGTGGACGAGATGGTTAAGCATGACACAAGGATATGAGATGTTGAGCTTCTTTCCGCCCTTCATCTTGAACGAAAAGTTCTCTGGGAATGTTGCGGGCAGCATACACCAGATACCATCAGTGTCCAGCTCAAGCGGTCGTCCAAGTCGCTCAACCAAGGATCGAGCCATCTGAATGATGTGGGCACCAGTCAAACAAGTAACGCCAGCCATCTCGAGGGAGTACCAACGCGAACCCTTTCTCATGACGTATCCGTAGAACGAGTTCAGAATGACCTTGTGGGCAAGCTGTAGCGAATCGTACAGAACAATCATCTTCTTTGCAGCTTCAACCTCACTTGGAGACGCGCCGGATGATTGAAGAGATGATGTCTTGCCCTTCCAGACCTTGGCCTTGCCTTTGTAATCGTATCGACGATCACGGAAGTCTCGTACAGTGTTGATATAGAATGGGTTCTCTCGCTGACAAATGATTGCCTCTCGCACAATGGTGGTTGAGTCGTGGATCTTGTGGTAGACCTTTTGAGAGTAGAGCTGGAGACGTTTCCGTATAAGACCTGCTTGCTCATCCGCACTCAGCTCCTGGAATGTCCGCTGTGGGGCATTAGGATGTTTTCCAGGGAACCTTTCGTTTTCGAGTGCATGTCGGATCATGTTGTATTCGTCTCGCTTTGCTGGGATGTACTCGCCTCTCCAGGCCCAAGGCATTCTCCTGTCGCAAGTCTTTCCTGGTCGGTTGAAGTCACATGCAGCGCAGTCGGCTTCCTTAATCATCGAGTCGGGCTGCAATCGATTGGTCGTCATGATGTTGGGGTACATGGAAGCAACGTCAAGATGGTAGATCAGTGGCCTTTCGTTGCGGTTTGGTGTCTCCTTGAGCTTGTTCAGCCTTTCGACGATCTGGGCCTTGACCTCATCGTAGTTTTCAACATCATCAAATTTCTTGTTCTCTTCGACCTCGATGACAAATCTCAAGGCGGCGTCGAGATCTTTGAGAAGCTCGTCAATGGCACTGGGTTCGACGGCAAAGTCAACAGGGATATCAGCTCGGAAGACACCAGCTTCGATACTTTCGACGTGACCACCGACGTAGGTTTCTGAGTCAAGAAGATGTCCATCCCAGAAAGCTTCTTTCGGTGTGATATACTTGTTTGGAAGCACGATCTCTCTTTGATAAGCTTGCACCATCAGCAGCATCTCGCAGAGAGTACCGGTTCCCTTTCTCAACACATCGTCACCGCCCAGCGGCAAGATGGTACAGAGAGAGAAGATGAAGGGGTGCACGTATTTCATGTAAAGATAGTATGTTGCCACGGCATCTGAGACGGAGTATTCGGCTAGAGTCTGAGGCCGTTCGCTGGCATACGGTGTCATCAGCTCAGGGTCGAGCTCATCAGGGTCGTATCCAAGCTTTGCGACTGTGACGGCCTTGAGACCACGGGAACCCTGGGGAAGATACGAATCTCGGTTGACCCAGTGAAAGCAGTCCATGTGTACACTGTAGTTGCACTTGTACTGATCTTCACTGTCCTTCTTCCAACCAATTTCGTGGTACATGTCGATGCCGTTGACGCTAGCTCTGGCTTCTACGAAGGGCCAATCGAAAAAGTCACCGTTGTATGTTGCAATGACAGTCGGGCGTGCCTCCTTGATATGGAGGAAGAATCTCTCAATGACGGCCTTCTCGTCAGGTTCGTTGAAGATCATGAAAGGACCAGGGTACTCTGGCTTGGGAGTGTAGTCAAAGTCGCCAATGTCTTCGGAGAGGATTGTTCGGTTGGTGATTAGAAACCCTTGGCCGTCAATCATGTATGAGATCATGATGATCTGATCGACGGCGGCGTCGGGGAATTTGAGAGGAGCTTTTGACGTTTCAATATCATAGGCCATGACCACAGGGTCCGCTGGAAGTGATCTCGTATCGTTGGGAGAAATCTTGGTTACCCCGTGCTTCGCTTCTACGAAGTACCAAGTTCCTACTCGTATGTCTGCGACTCTTGGTAAGTGAGGATTCAACAAGAATTCGAGTACAGCAAAGATGGTGAGGATAGACTGAATCAGGGCAATGGTGAATAGTGGTCTCATGGCCTGTAAAAGGCTCTGAAGTAGCAAATACTTGGGTTGCAAACATCATGTAAAGATAGTCAAACTGAAAGCAAAGAGAAGACTTACCCATATCTATCATTACTCGTACATGGTACGGAACATCGTATTCTCGTATATCGACAATAAAGTCGCTGGCATCCGTGAATGCATTGTTCATTTGTCGGTCGTCATCTCGTGAATCATCAAAAAGGTCAAAATCGCCGTTCGCAGCACTGTGATTTGTTAGCTAGTATTTGTCAGGATAGGAGGTCAACTCACGCCGCAACCTCGGCGTAGGCATCCATAGCATTCATGTTCTTCTTGTTCTTCTCCGCAATAGGCATGATGTCCTTCCTCGCGGCCAAGAGGTCGTTGACATTGGCAAACCTCAGCTCGAGAAAAGTCCTTCGGTAGCCAACTAAGTGATTCGGCATGTTGAGATCATCCTTCTCAACTCGTCGAATCGACTTGACGACGCCGCCTCCAGGAACTCTCTTTGCCCATTCTTCCACCTCGGACTCGTGGCCCTTCCTCACAGCGATGAGGAAGTAAGGATCGTATTCCACCGTCGCCTTGAAGGTCGAGCCGTCTTCCTCGATGAAGTAGCAGTCAACTGCTGCTCGACCGCCAGGTATCCGCTCGTCCTCGATCGATGTGGGTTGAATATTGACCAGCCACCCTTCCTTCTTCTTGCCGCTCTCATAACGTCCAAAGCCCATGTTCTCATCAATGGTGTGCGCTAACCGGGTACGCTCCCACTTCTCGTCGGCCGATGTGGCCTCGTTCCTCGAGGAGGCCGCGAATGTCCGCGTGCGAGCGCCATGGTAGGCAGTCTTTCCTCCCCGACGAAAGCCCTTTTGAGGGCGACGAAGGCTTGTGTTGGGCATCCTCTGGGAGAGGCTCCCCTGGAGAGGAGGGATTGTATTAGCAAGCCGAGGATGGTATGAGGACGTTGAGAAGCGTCATGAAAGGGGAAGAGAATAGGAAGAAAAGAGAAAGACGTTGAAGAAGAGGATAGAAAACGTGGTTAAAAAGTCAACAATGGACCCCGTAGAAGCGGAGCGACTGTGGAAACTTGGGTAGAGGAAGTGCAAGGGCAGGACAAAAGACTTGATCCAGATTGGTACATTTCATTTTGGGGGGGAGACGTGAGGCGCGTCGAAACGCGTCTTCGCGACGCGGTAACGCCCCACTACGAGTTTAATGGATTTCCCACAGAGCAACGCAACGCAACGCCCTGACGCACGGGCCACGCCGGCAACCGGCGGGCCTGCAGGGCTTTCGAGAGCGTCATCGGTCGGCCCATGTGAGGAAGACGACTTTCTGGTTGTGTGCCCGATTCATGACACCAATTGCGCCGCAAAGGTAGCCAGAAATGGCTTCAAATCAGGATGATGGGCAACCCAAGCCCGGCGAAAAGACACTACATGTCTGGTCGAAACCTATAGAGCAGAACGAGGCCACGGCCGGCGGCGAGAATGGAACGACATCTACCAATTCGAGGCCGACAATCTCGGACGCTGTGTCCATGATTAAGAAGGACGACTTTGCAAATGTTGCCAACACGCCGTGCGCCCGACAAGGATTCATTACAGGAATTGCTTCTGGTGCTGGTATTGGAGGCTTGAGATTTGTCCTCCGAGGTGAGTCGACCCTATACGGACTTGCACATCTCGGAATCATGGTCTGACCATTTTGTAGGAAACGCCACGAGCGCCGCAAACTGGGCGGTTGGAGTCTTTGTCCTCGGAAGCATGGCTTCGTACGAATGGTGCCAATACCTCCGCCGAGAGGAGCGACGACAAATGAAGCGACAGATCGAAGTGGTATCGGAGAACCGGAGGGAACAGGCAAAGAAGATTGCGGAGGCGAGACAAGAACACGCGAGGCTGGAGGCGGAGAAGAAGGCTGCAGAGAAGGCCTGGTACAAGTTCTGGTGAACTTGGAACCGATCTCCTGCCGTCATGTACCATTGTGTAAAAGTATTATATGTACCGTCTACTTGGGTACTGTTCTGGACAAGAGAAGGAGATGCTCAAAGTAGAGAGCCAAGATTAAAGGGTCAGAAGAGCCCACTAAGAATAAAAGGTGTAAAACGTGAATTCGGTACCTAACCGTGATGCCTACGTAAGTGATCTCTTAGAGACCAGGGTATAAAGCGGACTGATGAAGCCATTGCGATTGTATCTTCCCCTTCCGCCGTCCGTGAACCATCAAAGCAACTTGTGAAATCGTGTCGTTGAACAAAGAAACGCTTCTTGCCGCAAATTTGTTAAGCAAGGTTGGTGAAATAACAAACGCCAACGAAGCCGCCTAAGCAAAATGTCGGAATAGTCCCCTTCCGCCTAGCCGAGTGTCCAGTTCCTGTCCCAGCCCATCAAGTATGAGCTGTAGTATAGTATCATTATCCCGTCGTAATAGCAATGTTCTGAGCATCCGCGTCCATAAACCTGACCTTTCTCGATGGAGACTTTTCCTCTGGGCCAATGGTGATTCCTGGTCCGCGGCGTCGTCGCTGGTTGCGTCGAGCTCGTGCCTCATTCTCCTCTCGCTTGCGATACTCGGCCATCTGCTGCCTCCGCTTCATGGTACGGGCTTGTGCCAGCGCAGGCGTGGGCTTGAACCCGATACCATTGATTCCAGTGCCGTCATCATCTTCATCGTCGGGGTCGTAGATTGTGATTTCGTCCTCGTGCCATGTCAGTGCGGCTCTGACGGGGTCGACAATCTCCATTTCCTCGTCGTCTTCATCATCAAATGGACGTCTCGATGGCTTCTTCATGCGCAACGGCGGTGATCCTGTTCTCTTCTTGACCTTGGATTTTGATTCGGACAACCGGTTGATGGACGGGTATGCATGATGCAGGCTACTGTCTGCCGGCCTTGTGGCTTCGGCAAGCTGACGATCCTCCTCCGCCTTATCCCGCGGGGCCCCGCGTGAGGCAACTGGCGATGGCTCCCGAGCAGGCAGAAATGACTTGCCGTCCAGGTCGACGACTTCTTGGACGGTAGGAGGCGCATCTCCCATCATCTCATCAGGCCTCTGTCGTTTCCTAACGGACTCGTGGGCATCGTGGTCGTCGTTGTCGTTGCTGGTTGCCCCGCCCCCACTTTCCAGTGCGAGACCACGGAACTTGTGGGCGACGGATGAGCGCGGGCTATTGCTGCCATCGTCGGGGTTCGCGGCGGAGGATGAAGACGAAGGGTCGAGCTCAAACGAGAACTGAATTGGAGACAGCCATAGCTGCTCGCCTCGCTTGCGCTTTGGAGTGCTGAGGCTCTGTGGTGATGCGGCGGCCATGGTTCAATGCCGTTGTTTAATAAGAGTCAGAAGCGGCCAGGACGACCGCTTGGTCGGTTGGAGACGAGACAAGGGCCCGCCCGGAGCTGAGTTGTGCTGTGCTGGAGCTGTTGGGGTTGCGCACGCACGCATGCACCACCCGCTGCTGTCACCTCAATCTAGAGCGGATTAACCTAGAAGGGAAATGGCAGGAGAATGGAAGAGGAAACGTGCGGTGTTTGTCAAAGACAAGGCACCGATCTAGGTGAGATTTGGTTTACTTCTCAGACTCTGGGCACGCTGGCAGGCCTCGTGATTCGTGTTACATGCACAGCAGGTGACCACCTCCTCCTGGGCAATAAGGCCTTCACTCAGCGTCACATCCCATCCAGACCGAGCCCGATCTCATGGCAAGCATCCCATCGTAGATCTCCCCCCCAACGTCATGTTTCAGATAATATGCCTTGACGGCTAAATTTGGTACGAGACAAGGTATCTAATAAAATCGGGACAGCTCCCGCAGGGCTGTAGACGGCTGTATTGTGCCGGATGGGGTGTAGCTCATTTATTCCGCCCAGATTAACGCCATTGTTTCCCCGTGTCAAACCACATTCAACACCACCACCGCCAGACCTCAGCCCACCCATCACGAAGGCATCGACCTGAACTCTCGGCCTTCCCATGTTTGACCCTGGCGATGGGGTCTTTGCTTTGGTGCTTTGATTCATCGCTGCCCCCTTTCTGAGAGGGAGTGCTGTTCTCAGTGGTAGTGGTCGTCTTGAGGACGTTTTCGTGTTTGTAGGCAGCTCAGCTGCCTTGACCAACCCGTCTCGCGGGCAAATTAAAGGTATTATATGATGATATTCATCCAGACGAGATGGCCTGTACATTGTTAGACATCATACACCTCTTGCCGATCATCAATAAACACTTACTCGGAGTAGCTTCGTCCTTGCGCCGACAGTATCAACTCCAAGCTGCTGCAGATCCGCGTCACTTAGACGAGAAACCTGCGCCGGAGACATTCCAGTCAGGCAATTTTCGTACTTGTGCAGCCTCAACGCGCGGAGCCATTTGGCTACCCATCTAGGGTCTTGGGAGTTGTGAGGGAACGCCGGCATCGGCCACTTGGGCTTTGTTCCGGGCTGAATGAGGAGGTCCTCCTGTCGACGCCAGAGATCCCGCTTGCGGTCCTTGAGGGTTTGGATCAAGGGCTCGATCTCGCGGAGACACGGTAGCTCGGCGATGGATGTGAGGGCGGCTGTTCGTTCTTCGTCGTTGAGGACTGAAAACCACGTCTTGATGATGTCCATCTCCTCCCCCACCCTTTCGCTGTCGCTCTGCGAGCTAACATGGGAACGGAAGGACAAGGATGGAGAGCTGGATGCTGACCCCGAGATGGAGCTTGAGAAACTAGAGTATGAAGACATTGTGATGGGCGAGTGGATGTGATGCAGATGATGAGTCTGAATTAAAGAAGAAAGGAAGCAGAAGAAGAAGCTTTGTAGGATCTCGAAGAAATATATTTCGAAGCAAAAAGACAACATATGCGAGCAAGGCTTACGAGTTGGCTGGATGTGGTCGATTGATCAGGGCTATGGCGTGGTCTATCTGACGGCGACAAGGGACGCCTGGGAGCAAATCACCTCAGGTCATAAGGTTGTTGGAGGGGGATTGAGCATGTATTTATTAGGGTGTGCTCCTGAAGGCGAAATGAACCAACGATTCTCGTCTCAGGCCGCCCTGACTTGGACGAGCAACGTTCGATCCCCTATCTAATCAGAGATAGATGACAGGCCGTCTCATGCGACACCCTTGGGAGTCTGGCCAAGCTCGCCCTGATCGTGGCAAGATTCACGAAAAGACGAGATTTCATCTTTTCCTTTACAATGAGAATATTCATCTTTGACTCTTGAGCGGGATATGAGCAAGTTATCCTTGGTAGTGCGCTCCACACGTCTTCACACCAAAATGCTGTCCAACGACATCCATCCCCAAGATCCCTGGCGCACTACTGTGTCAAGGGTTTGCCCAGCTTTGGACGCCCCAATCATAACTAGCTCAAATCGATCAAAGTCTTGGGAATAATCACATCTTTTTGTGCTCTAATCCTTACAAGTGTCCAAGATCTGAGATGCGCCACAAACGGTTCGTGGGGGCCGTGAGCGGGTTTAGCTGGCCATGCAGGCGCCTCCAACTCTAGACATGCATGTTCTTTTCAGTACCGAACGCTAGGCTCCTCTCAAAGATTCTCGGAAGCATCTGGATCTTAAGTCGGGACCTTGTAAAAACGGTACTTGAGTGTTCCGAGTCCCGATCTTGGTCTGTTGGTGTTTTCGATCGAGTCTCTAACTCTACTAAAAGATGACTCGTCATGATATCTTCACTGGCCAGGGTAAGCACCTTGTTGACTCGCCAAGTATGACATCTTTTCGCATATGATTCAGTAGTCTAATTCGATTTATAGGTTCGTTAATCCTTTAGCATCATGTTTCCAGAATGCTCAATGTGTGTGTGCTTAAAATGACATCTCCCCCAAGGGTATCGTTAAAACAATGCAGTTGAAGCATCAATGCTTCCAATCCTGTAAACAACCTTTAACTTCCGCAACATGGCCCAATCAACCACAGCAGACCGTCGTCTCCTCGATACCCTTGGGCTTGCTCTCGTCACCTTCCATCCCCTCAAGATCAATCTTGACCACCAACCAGTCGCAAAAGAACTTGCCCAGGCCGCTGCCGATGAAGATGCAGATGATGACATATCCGTTAAAGTACATGGCAAGCAGCATGATGATGTAGGCGCCCGCAAATGTCACGGCGTGGATGATGGAGCGCACCAGCTGCTGCAGAGGCGAGGCCCGGTAGGTGAGGGTTTGCCGCGTGGGCATGACGGCGCCGGTGCAGCCCGCAGCGGCCATGGCGACGCCGTGAGTTGTTGCCTGGCGGTGGAATTGCCGCTGTAGTAGGGCATCATACTCTTTGCCCATGCGACGGAAGAATTCGACAAGGACGACCAGCAGGATAACGCCGATGCAGGTGGCAACCATCATGCCTGAGTTCTGGATTTGCCATGATTCGGCGAGGAAACACGCATCAATTGTGTTCCAGTTCCAAAGCATCTATGATATTGTAAGTTCACCGTCCATAACGTTTCTTGGATGTCCTTACCTCCACCTTGCACGCAGCACCACCGCTATCCATGTTTCCCATGTCGTGGCTCATCTTGAATGATTGTTTGCGCGTCCGCAACGAGCTGTTCAGAGGACGATGATAATGAGCCGGAGTGAGGTGCAAGACAACGACCGTCTACACGATAGCAAGACGATATGGTCGGAGCCGGGTCAGCCACGGGGGGTTGAATGTGGGCGCGAGTGTTTAATACGTCTCAAGACCTAGAGCCGAGTTCGTCGGCCAACTTCCAGTTATGGGTAATGTGGAGAAGGCGGACGGATTTGGGGGGTAATCCAGCAATTAAGACCCTGGTGAGAAGGATTGAGTTGGTTCCAAGACTCGGGACGAGAAGAAGGATGGATGTGATGCAGCCGCAGAGACAAGGAGAGGCTCCTGACTGAGCCAAAGACGACTCGGCAGTTATTAATAATGGATTTTAATCCATGATACGAGGGTAACACAACCTGACAGAGAGTGAAGCCAAGAAACTCAGAGCGGAGGTTGATTCTCCAAGAGCGGAGCCCGGTGGAGCCGGAGGTCGGACGGCCCCACCCGTAGACCCCGGGAAAACGTGCTCATTCCTGCTCAACTCCATCTTTATCGTCTCGCCATGGACATCACCAACAAAGCGCAGCGTCGCAATGCTCATCTTTTCCCTCTTTTCTGGGCTGCGTCGATTCATCAAGGTCAGACTGACCGATCCTCCACTCGTAGTTTGAGCAAATAAGCAGGAGCATCATTCCCGATCCGGCCTGGCTGCCGCGTCCAGGGTCTCGCCCTGTCCTTAGAATCTATCTCTAAACCCGCTCAGTCATGGATGTCGTTCGTTTGTTCAGTCCCGCCAACCTGGCTCCTCGGTGGAGACGCCGCCGACGGTTCGATTCTTATTTCTATGGCATCACGTCCGTCGCCATCTTGTTCGCCATTGCCGATCCGTCTTGTCCCTCGCGGCTTGTTGCACCACTGCTCCACTGGATTTGGAGCTGACCATATAATTTCTTGTCCACTGTCGACGTGACTTGACCTTTCTTGTTCTTGACATTCTCCAAAACTCATTGTCGGACAAGAATCATTCACCATGGAGTCCCTACACCAGCTGGGTGCTCGCCACATCCAGAACATGAGCGAGGCCAAATCCCTCGAGCCTCATTGGGGATACGCAGACCGAGCCGTCCCTTGCACAAACGATAAAGGCTCTTGCGAGTATCTTGATCTCGTCTACTATGCCCACGACCTCGGTATGCTCTATACCGGCATCTTCTGGGGCACCATCCTCGCCATCCTCTTCGTCTGGGCTATCCTCCGACATGTCGGCCGGCCATCGGCTCCGCCTACCATCTCAAATCTGAACCCCAAGGCCGGTTTCGCCAAGGTTCGTCGCAGCATCGCTGCCATGACGCGCAAGTATTTGCTCCCGGACGCGGCCCGGTTCATCTTTGGCCGCACTACTCGCGTTCAGGTGGTCATCCTGCTCACGCTTCTGGGCTATCTGACCATCTGGACTTTCGTGGGCATGTCCTATCAAAAATGGATCACTCCCGTCAAGGACATGCCGGGCACTTACAACACCCGCACGAGTCTCGGCCCCTGGTCCGACCGTATCGGTACTCTGGCGTATGCCTTGACACCTCTCTCTATCCTTCTGTCCAGCCGAGAGTCGATCCTCTCCCTCATCACTGGCGTCCCTTACCAGAGCTTCAACTTTTTGCACCGATGGTCGGGCTACATCATCTTTATCCAGAGCGCTCTCCACACCATTGCTTGGTGCATCGTCGAGATTCGCCTGTACCAGCCCCAGCCTACAGTTGGTATCGAATGGATCACACAGACTTACATGATTTGGGGCATTGTGGCCATGATTCTTCTCACTCTGCTTGTCCTGGGAAGCACTCCCTGGGGCATTCGTATGACGGGCTACGAGTTCTTCCGCAAGTCTCATTATGTCCTTGCCATGGTCTACATTGGAGCTTGCTGGGCTCACTGGAAGGCCCTCAAGTGCTTCCTCCTCCCTGCCCTCCTGTTGTGGTTCGTCGACCGTGGTTTCCGACTCCTTCGATCTGCCTATTTGCACTATCACCATCTCCCCAACGGCAGCATGGGCTTCCAGGCTTCCCAGGCTGTCATTACCCGGTTCCCCGACCCAGAGCATGGTGATATCCTGCGACTCGACCTTGAGAACAACCAGGACCCGTGGCAAGTTGGTCAGCATTACTACCTCTGCTTCACCGAGAGCAGCATCTGGCAGTCCCACCCCTTCACGCCCCTGAATGCTCCTATCGTTGTGAAGGGCGTTGTGAAGCACTCGTACATCATGCGTGCTAAGAAGGGCGAGACTAAGAAGGTGGCCGAGTTGGCAGCCAGGAAGCTGGAGAACTCTGAGAAGGCAGCCACATCTGTGATCCTCACTGGTGCATATGGTGAAGAGACCATGGACGAGATCGCCCCCGACACCAACATTATGTGTGTCGCCGGTGGCACTGGTATCGCCTATGTACTCCCCGTCCTCCTCGAACTCGCACGATCACCCATTTCCCGAGACCGAAAGATTGAGCTCGTCTGGGCCATCCGCCATGCCACCGATGCTGAATGGGTCCACGAGGAGATGGAGCTCCTCCAACAGGCCCGAAAGGCTCTGAACCTGAAGATTCGAGTGTACGCAACACGAGACGTTGGTAGCGGCCCCCTGCCCCGAGAGAAGGACGAAAAGGCCGCGACCGACGGCGCCATGCAGGTTGGCTCATCATCATCGTCGGACGTGGATGAGGACTGCGCGTGCGGCACTGATGTCCCTGTCGCAAAGATTGGTCATGGCACCGTCGACGAGGACCGACACCCCAACCTTCCCAAGCTTGTCAAGGACTTTGTGAGCACCACAGTCAGAGGTCCCACGGCGGTTTTCGCCAGTGGCCCTGGAGGCATGATTAGCGACTTGCGGACGATTGTGGCTGGGTGCAACTCCGGCAGTAAGGTATGGAAGGGCGAGGAGCGATTCGACGTCAAGTTGGTGTGCGACGACCGACTGGAATGGTAGGCGACGAGATGAAGGGGATTCGAAAACTTTGCTTTGCTTTAAGATACCACTCTGCATTTCTCGCGGCGCTTTTCAAGCTGAAATATGTACATAATTGAAGGGCAGCATCGACTGCGCCATGTCTATAACATGACTTTGAGACCCAACCGTTGATGACCTATCTTGATGTGATGAGATACATTTACCCTGCCGTGATTCCTGCTGGCCGTGTCAAGTCGAGTTTCAAGTGTTTACACATCACATGACACGACAGAAGCTCTTTTGTACATGAGAACCTGTGGAACCCGTGGGCCTAGCTCCATCATGACGATGATGAGCTGGTTGGATGAGATGCCTTCTTGGGCGACACCTTCAACTTCGACTAGTGGCCGCATCCCAACTTGTCGGAGCTCCAAGCCGCGCAAGCTGTAACCGTGCCTGGTAAGGCAAGCAAGCACCAGCTGCAACCGCGCCACTCACACCGAGAAGCCCGCATCTTTAGAAGCCATGACGCGCTCCACCCCGCAACAATGGCCATAACTCGGTGAAGCTGTCAGACATCATGTCATGCCATCCACGGATTGGACGGCTTACAACAAATACTGTACATACTGTTACCCAGAGAGCTCCCAAGCACACGGGGATGTCCCATGCGAGAAACATCTTTCCCCCACGGGTCGTGTCCCCATTGGCAGTTTAGCCTGAATTCCAAAGTCATGATGGGTCCCCAGCTTTTCGCATTTATCCCCCCTCTCGTTCCATCGAGTACCACCACGCCTCGCAGTTCAGTTGCAGAAAACGAGTGGTTAAAACCTCACCGCATCTCAGATCTCCTTTTTCTCTTCCCATTCATCGTTCTCTTGTGCTTGGTGGAAGAAAGAAAGAAAACATAAATAACACTCGCATCCCCTCCACCCCACCATCATTATCATTTCACCCCGCCTTAAAGTGATATCATTCAATCATGGCCGACGCTCCCATCTCCTTCATTCCCCTCGGCGCCATCGTCCAGTCCCTGGTCGTCAAGGGCATCAACATTGTTCAGGGTTTCGCCAACCAGGAGGAATATGAAAAGTACAACTCGCCTTACTTCGGCGTCACTGTAGGCCGTGTCGCAAACCGCATCAAGGGTGCCCGCCTCGATAGCCTCAATGGCAAGGAGTACACCCTCGCTGCAAACAATGGCCCTAACCACCTCCACGGTGGTGAGGTCGGCTGGAGCAAGCGCGTCTGGGACGGTCCCAAGCCTGTTGGCGTCCGTGAGGTCCCTGGTATTGAGAACCTTGAGGGTGGCGAGAGCGTTGCCTTTACCCTCACCAGCGAGGACGGCGATGAGGGTTACCCCGGTACCGTGGAAGTGACTGTCGTCTACACGACTGGCATCCAAAAGGCTGAAGGAAAGGAGGTCACCATTCTTGCCATGGACTACGAGGCCAAGCTCATCGACGGCGCTGATGAGACCGTCATCAACATGACCAACCACTCCTACTTCAACCTCAGCGGCCAGGAGACCATCGACGGCACAAACATCACCCTCCCAACCAACAAATACCTCGCTGTTGACGAAGGTCTCATCCCCACTGGCAAGATCGAACCCTTCCCAGGTGTCAACGCCAATGAGGCCGTCCTCATGGGAGTAAAGGAGCCCAACATCGACCACTGCTTCGTCCTCAACACGGACCCCTCCTCAGTGCCCCTCGACACCCGCTCCGAGCCCCTTAACCTCAACCTCAAGGCCCACCACGCCGGCGCCGGCGTCAACCTCGAAGTCCTGAGCACTGAGCCCACTTTCCAGGTCTACACTGGCTCCGGCATCGACGTGCCCGAGGTTAATGGCAAGGCTGCCCGTATTTCGCGCAGCGGTTTCTGCTGCGAGCCTGCGCGCTATGTCAACGCCGCCAACGTCCCCGAGTGGAAGAATATGGTCCTGCTTAAGAAGGGAGACACGTACGGCGCCAGGATCGTGTACAAGGCCTGGGCAGACTAAGTTGGATATCTCGTAGGATATGAAATGAAAAAAAATAAAAAAAAATGAAAGAAAACCAATTGGATAAGCACGATTTTATGAACGCCTAGCTAGGTATTATGAGAAAAATTGGAAACAAAACCCTTGAGGCAGCCTCCCGATTTTACTGCATTTTGTTAGTGTACAGAGCCC